CTTTCATATTTTAAAATCTCTGAACTTGGTGTTCAAAGATAATTATAATGAGTAATTACGATTTACAGTGTTTTTCTTCTTTCTTAGTGGAACATAAAGTATTGGTGTGTCTTACCTTACTGGAATCTTAACTTAGATGAAATAATATTTTATACCCATCCTCCCTATGATGTTTCTTCTCCAAATGCTTAGAGATCGGTAAGCTTCCTAAATGAACCCAAGCACTCTAGCCTGACGCCCTCTCCACGAAAAAGTTTCCCCACCATTTTCTTTCCTTTAACAACTTTGCGGCTTTTTGTATTCCTGATCCAAATACCTTTTCCTTGTGTGGCTTTTGCTCTTTTAACCCACTTTCACTTTCTTTTAAAAAATTTGAATTTTTTTTTGTTAATCCTCAACCAAGAATATTTTTTCCATTGATTTTTAAAGAGAGTGGGAGAGAGAGAGAAACATTGATGTGAGAGAGTCACATCAATTGGCTGCCTCCCAAATGTGCTCTGACCAGAGCTGAGGATCCAACCTGCAACCCAGGTACTCACCCTTCAACAGGAATTGAACCCAAGACCCTTCAGTGCTCGGGGTTGTGCTCTAACCACTGAGGCAACACCAGCCAGGGCAAGAAAATTTTAACTTTTAAATAGACTAATTTCTAGTGTGACAATCTAATGCAAAAAAGCATGTGCGAATACTCCTTTGGGATGAAGTCCTTGACTGGCCCACATCTGCCAGTCAGCCTGGGAAAGGAAGTGCTGTCCAGAAGCCCCTTGCTTTAGGCAGTTGATAATAAGACTTCGTCGAACATCACAAATAACACAGTAGCACACACCCTCCCAAGGGGTGCTGGGCCGAACGCCTCTCCCCAGCCTTTCGTTTTGGTAAGGTTCTACCACCTTCCTCTCCCCCTTTTATAGCTGCCTGAGCAAAATCGTTTTTTTTTCCCCGTCAACTAATAGGCTCACTTCTTTTGAACTCTCATTTGAAGAACTGCTCTCAGGTACAAATGCTTTATTTCAGGAAAATAACATAAAGCAGGGATCTCAGTGTTGCTCAACAGCATGACTGTGGAGAGGTGGAGAAGGGACTGAGGAACAGCGTCTTGGCTCCGACCTCCGGCAGGGGCCCCTTCTCCTATTACCCTTATTTCCTCTACTAACTGCTGGATGCTACTATCTCCTTTATAATCACCCATCCTGCTCGGCTGAAAGAAGAGTTACCCCACAACATGAGGGCAGGTTCCACCAGAAGAAAGCCCCAAGTCCTTTTATGAAATGTACTGGCCTCTGGGACAGCCGAAGCCTCCCGAGGCCACTGGGAAGCAGTGACACTGCTCGGGGAAAATCGACGCCACATTATACAGGGGTCACTGCTTGCAAAGCGCTCTCGTTACCTGCGAAACCAGAGCACCATGGCTGCACCTCTCTTAATAGGGTGTCTAAAAATTACAGATCTCCCCCCTCAAAACAGCTACTAGAGAGAAAAGTAAATTCTTGGATGATCACCCAGAATTTGGTTGATTGCTTAGCTGAAATGGAGGTTGGGAGATGAGGGCCAGAGGGTAGTAATGACTCTTTTTGAGTCAAATTTTTATCTCCAAGTGACACTTTCCACTTGACGCCCAGTGCTAAGGTGTCCCTATGTGGTGAAGACGTGTTAAGTAATCACAAATAAACTATTATTTGCTGTACTTTACAGTAATTGTTTTCTGTTCATAACAGACTGATTTTCATCTCTATAGTTGGGTTTTGGTATGGATCATTTAAAACAATCATGGTTCTCCATGTAAAATGTCTACTGGTTCAAGTACATGATTATCAATAGGGCTGAAATGTTACCAGTAATAGTAATTAGCTAATATCAACCTGTGTCGTGCAATGTATGACCATCGAGAGGGCTCAAGAAATGGCAGCATTTGTCTTCTGGGAAGTAGAGGACAATGACTAGCGGCAAGACAGTGATGAGTTATCTTCAATAGACATTTCACGGAGTCCTGATTCAGGAAATGAGGTGGACTGAAACCCCATATTTGTGTAGGACAGATGAATTTGCAAAATATTTAGAATTAGGAATAGGAATTAGGCAATAAAACTGGACATTTATGCCACCTGTCCTTGCACTCTTCAACTCTTACCCGTGGTTCTGAACAACTGACAGAGTCAGTATCCACAGGTGGCTGATCTCCAGATCTCTGGTTTCTCCTTCAGTGAAAGAGGAGTGGAAAGTAAAACGGACAATATGCCTTTAGGGGTAAAACCCAGTTAATCAACCATCATTTATGGAACTGTGAACGTTGTAAAACACCACAGTGTATTTAGCCGCCCCCATCTCTCTCTGACTGGGAGAAGCCGGAAGTGCTCGGGTTCCACTGTAATTCTGCGGGTTCTACCCAGTCTCTCTCCTGCAGTCAGTGCCGGCCTGGCAGCAGACACTGTGACTCTGCAACTAACCCCAAACCTCAAACACAGATTTATTTTACCTCTTGTTTCTCTCCTGTAAAACTACTGCACTCAATCTAATTCCAAAAGATTCTGAACCAAACCTTACGTCTATTTGGAAAATTCTTTTAAATGAAAGGATGAAAGTAAAATAAATTTCTGATTTGGCTATTTTTAACACTTGTTTTTGCTTCCTACGTGTACTGATAAACAAGTGGGTAGCTTTCTTCAACATGTCTTTCTAGATCAGCTGCCTAACTGGATGGCACAAAGACACTGATTTAGGGAAAAAAAGGAACTTCTATTTATATTTATGTATCAGGTTTAAAAAACTTAAATTTAGCCCTGGCCAGGTGGCTCAGCTGGAGTGTCCTCCCATATGCCAAAAGGTTTCAGGTTTGATTCCAGGTCAGGGCACATTACCTAGGTTGCAGGTTTGATCCCCAGTGGGGGTCATACCGGAAGCAAATGGTCAATGTTTCTCTCTCACACTGATGTTTTTTTCTCTAAAAAAATCAGTGAAAACATATCCTCGAATGAGGATTAAAAATAACTTAAATTTATTATGTATGATTTATTTTGAACATAGTATTATTAGTGTAGTAGAACACAAACTATGTAATTAACCAATAAATGTGTACACTGGTGGATAGATACATGCTCAAAATTTTTTACCAATGGCTGTGTAATTAAGAGGTTTGAAGATACTGTTCTAGCTAATGATTTTTTGGGGGGGGGTTGTTTTGTTAATCCTCATCCGAGGATATTTTTGCATTGATTTGTAGATAGAGCAGAAGGGAGGGAGAGAGAGAGAGAAACATCAATGTGAGAGAGACACATCAATAGGTTGCCTCCCACATGCATAGTCCAACTGGGGATTGAACCTGCAACCTGAGTATGTACCCCTGACCAGGAATCAAACCCGAGACCCTTCATACTGAGGGCTAATGCTCCAACCACTAAGCCAAACCAGCCAGGACTAATGATCTTAATATCTATTTTTTTTTTTAACTTTTATGTCTTTCTTTCTTTCTTCTCTTTCTCCCTCCCTCCCTCCCCCCCTCCCTTCCTTCCTTCCTTTTTTATTTTATTTTTTAAAATTTTTTTTATCCTCACCCGAGGACATTTTTCCATTTTTTGCACAGATAGAGTGGGAGGAAGAGAGAGAGAGAGAGAGAAACATCGACGTGAAAGGGACACATCGAGTGGCTGCCACCTGCACGACCAACCAGGGCCGGGGACAAACTGCAACCGAGGTACATGCCCTTAGCGGGAACCGAACCTTGGTCTCTCCGGACCGCAGGCCGATGCTCTAACCGCTGAGCCAAACCGGCCAGGGCCTTCCTTCCTTTTTTAGAGAGAGAGGAAGGGGGAGAGAAAAAGAGAGAGAAGCATCAATTGGTTGCCTCCAGTATGTGCCCGACTGGGGATCAAACCTTCAGTGTAGATATGTGCCCTGATGGGGAATTAAAGTGGCAACCAACTAACTGAGACACACCGGCCAGGGCTTAGTATCTTTTATAAGCCACAGACATGCAGGAATGAATTCAAAGACATAAGCAAAATCAGTACCTTTCCAAATAGTAAAAAAATGGCTCTGCAACCCAGAGAAGACCTTGCCATAAAGATGACTTCTACTTTTCTGCAAATCTATTGTCTCTTAAGAGGCAGGAGATGCCTCATATTTTGCCAGGGGCACAAATAGTTTGGGATCAGCTTAATTACTGGTCTGTCTTTGATCTATTCCTTTTAGTTTACAGCTGCTTATCAACTTTACCGGGGAGTTTGTATGCTAAAGAGAGTCTTTGCCTGTTGAAACTCAACAAGAAAGGCGAGAAATTAATGGGATAGCAGAGATCATTTGTTCGTCACTATTTGAGTCCTGTCTTTCCAAAGGTATCATTTCATTTTAATTTCTATCACTGATTAAGAAAACACATATATCAATGTGTTTAAAATGATAAAAGCCATTGAAAATACAAAAGCCACTTTAAAAGGACAGGCTCACAGCACTCGGCTGATTCCGAGCTCACCGTACCACACCCAGGGATCACTTTTATATCTACAGAGACATCTTTTTTTTTTTTTTTTTTAGAGAGAAAGAAAGGGAGAGAGATAGAAACATCAATGTGAGAGAGAAATATTAATCGGCTGCCTCTTGCATGCCCCCTACTGGGCATTAAGCCCTCACCCAGGGGAGTGCCCTGACCAGAAATTGAACCAGGACCTCTCAGTCCACAGGACGATGCTCAATCCCCTGAGCCATACCAGCTGAGGCTATTGAGACATCTTTTAATGGGACCATAATCTTCAGGCCTATACCCAAGAATTCTGTGGCTTAAACACAGACAGAACAAGGTTAGTGGCTCATCCTGAAGTTTCTGTTTGGCACAGGCTGGCTTAAGGGTACCCTGTGCATACCTGTTTTTCCAACTTTTCTATATTGCTGGTAAAAACCAACCAACCAAACAAACAGCATATACACATGCACCCATGCATACACACATACAAATGAGACAATGGAAAGGAATGAGTTGCAGTTGTCTTGTAAGTAACATGACAGGGTACCTGGGATGCTCTCTAATTTCCTTCTGAGCTCCTCGTTTTCTTGTTGCAATGAAATGACCTCGTGTTCCAGCTCTTGGCATCTAGGACAGTAGCCTTCTTCTTCCTCCTCCTCTTCCTCCTCTGGCAGTGTAGAAGAAGATGGGTGACCATGGGATTCAGACGTTGCTGGGGAGGTCCAGCCACCTAGTGTATGCACAGGGGAGGTCGACAGAGGATCCACGTCGGCCAGGTGGCCATACTCACTGACCGATGAGGTGTTTGGAGTTGGAAAGCTCCCCGAGAGCAAGTAATTTTGTAGGGAGTCAGTGAAAACTCTCAAAAAGGCAGAAGTCTGTTGTTTCCTTTGCATATATTGCATCTCTATGTCTACATTGTCTGAGGTCTGACTGTGGACCCCTTTTCCAATGTGACACTGATCTTGTCTTTCAGTATAACTTGAGCCTTCTTGCTTAACGTAAGAAATCATGGATTGAGAATGGTTGGAGTCCAGAAGTTTGCCTCCACAATTTAAGAGGCTGAGGACTCGACTGCACTGCTGGGCAAAGGCATCCAAGATCATGCGACTCTCTGAAACACATGAAAAGACACATCAGAGACCAACAGCCCAAAACGAGAGATAAGTCCCTAATTTTGAGTTTAACATCCAAAAATGTCAAAAATACGTATTTCCACTGTCACATAGCAAGGTGACACAGAGACTCCACTTTTAATAGGATGCATAGCTTCCTGTTGTTCTGACTGGTGGGGTGCCTGATGTGTTGCTCCCAGCTCCTGCCTCTGGGAAATGGCTAGACTATGATTTGGGGCACCGCAGAGAGAGTTTCCTCTTTGTGGCATTAACTGGCCTGCGCAGGTCTGAACTCACACCTATGGCTTCATTAATATCTTTACTCTAATGAATCAAGCCAGCCGCTGCAGACTCAATTCCTCATTGATAGGAGGGCTTAGAGCAATCATTACTTCTATTTCTGGAGTGCCCTCGTGCCCTTGCTATTAATCAGCTGATACAATCCCTGCCGAGAGTACGTTGCTCCCAGATACAAACTGGAGAAGAAAGATAAGTCTTTTTGAAGAGCTCACCAGACATCTAAGGTAAAACAAAGAGTGGGCCCATCAGGCAGACGAAGAGAAGCCCCAAAGCAAAACGGTGTGTGTTATCCAATATCTGTGCCTACTATTCTCTTTCAATTTATCTGCCAACATGGATTTCTCGTCAAGGCCAATGTTCAGGCTGATCTATATTGCATCACCTGAAAAGCAGATCGTCTCTCCCATTAAGTTGCCAAATCCCCTCAAATGGCACGCACTGGGAATTCCGGTTAGTTCACATACACAAATTCTAAAGCATATTAACTATCAATCGGTGGAAGCAAAAAGCAGACAGAAAGCAATCAATTCACCACAGAACCAAAGGGCAAAACCAAAACAAAACAAAAATAAACCCCAAGCTGTGGAAATATGATTTAATACCATCAGTCTAAAGATCCTGAAAATCCACTCTAAATATAAATGTCACAAGGTGGATTCCCTTCTTTCCTGACCACCACCCAGAACAGGCTACTAACAAATACAGAGAGAGATATACGTTCTAGGCCTTATGGTGTGGCATGAAGATGCCTTTCATCCCCTCCCCACCCCCATCAGAATAATGGTAACAAATAAAATATTGTAGTTTTTGGTGCCAATAGCTATTGTTTATGAGAGAAATGTAACTAGCTAGTTGCCGTCTCTGAAAATGTTGACTAGCTATATTTTTTCCTGAGAACAAACAAATTCCCACAACTTTTAAAATGAAAAAAAAATGGTGAGATCCTCAAGGGCTTCTATGGGAACAAGGAACCAGAACAGTTGTGAAGAGAAACTACTCTCTCCAGAAATCCAGGTGTATGACCGGCACCACCCTTCAGAAACCTCCATGCAGCACTTCTTCATTTTGTGCTTTTTTCTTATTAGTCTTTCCTGAAGAAACTAAGGTATTGGGGGAGGGAGGCCAAGTCTCCTTTTTCAATGATTTAATAAGAATATATGTGTAAAGCCCAGCCCAGAGCCTGGCATACAGGAAGCACCCCTCAGATCTTCCAAATCCATAAAATGTGATTCCTAGTTCCCTCTGAAAAAAATCAGAAGTTGGCCCTGGCCGGTTTGGCTCAGCGGTTAGAGCGTCGGCCTGCGGTCCAGAGAGACCCGGGATCGGTTCCCGCTAAGGGCACGTACTCCGTTGCAGTTTGTCCCCAGCCCTGGTTGGGTTGTGTGGGTGGCAACCACTTGATGTGTCCCTTTCACGTTGATGTTTCTCTCTCTTTCCCTCCCACTCTATCTGAACAAAAAAATAGAAAAATGTCCTCAGGTGAGGATAAAAAAAAAATCAGAAGTTAGAATACAGAGGCCAGTGTTCTTCAGATCAGGAGAGGAATAGAGATTACATATTCCCTGAGCGCAGTGGGTCTGAGTGCACTGGGGTTCAGGCCCAGCACAGTACCTCAAGAAATACATATATATATATATATATATTTTTTTTTTTCTTTTCAGATAGAGTGGGAGGAAGGTGGGGTGGGGGGAGAGAGAGATCGATGTGAGAGAGATACACAGATTGGGTGCCTTCTGCACAACTCCAGTCAGGGCCGGAGATCGAACCACAACCAAGGTACGTGCCCTTGATCGGCATCAAACCCGTGACTCTTTGGTCTGCAGGCCAGCACATTAACCGCTGAGCCAAACCGGCCATGGCCCTCGAGAAATATTTACTGAATACATGCAGGGACTCTTAAAACAGAGGATCTTAGTTCATAGCAATTTCAGATTTATGTGGCTGGGGTAGGGGTGGCAAGACCACTCTAAGTGGGCTGAGAGGCCACAGTGTTACTTCTTAGCCTGGCGCCTCCTTACTCTTAGGAGTAGTACTGCCCTAGACATAGGCAGGAGGGCCCCTGCCAGACCCTCCCCCCTCCAGCCTGCACTCTCCCCATGGTGAGGTCCCAAGATCTAGGAATTCCCTACTCAGATTGCTCCAAGGGCCTGTGCTGGTCCCTTCCCTGAGCGACCTTCCCAAAGACAGAACATGGTGCCAGAGCTTGGGAGTTCGAACACGTGTGGATATACCTGTGTGTATATGAGGTCCCTCCCACAGAAAGATAAAAATGGGGGTGGTGAGAAGAGGCCATGGGCTGTCTGGAAGCACAAAAGTCAAACCTGGTCATTATGAAGGTCTCTTTGTCAGGGTAGACAGAACATATTTTAACTGTTTGTTAGCTGGAGTTGGGTCCTTTATTTCTTTAGATATGTAATATGCAGGCTTGCATTTGTACCCCTGTCCTGAATTCCACAAATAACAGGCATTTTACACCATTATTTTGAGTGCTAAGGAAGGAACCAGATTCTAAGCATAGTTTCTGGCTAGAATAAATTGATGGGCTGGGAACTTGGATGAAGAAGCTGCCAAGATAAAGTCTGTTTACTACCTTGGAGAACAAGGGACATGGATATAGCAAGTATCTCTTACACACCAACCACTGGAGTTGTCGACACCTTCGCCCCCTGCCAGGTGGAACGAAGAACTGAGTGTATGATTGAAATAAAAAATGTAATGGGGCCCTGGCCAGTTTGGCTCAGCGGATGGAGCATCGGCCTGTGGACCAGAGAGTCCTGGGTTCAGTTCCCGCTAGGGGCACGTACCAAGAAAAAAAAAACTGTAATAGGAAAGACCTCAAATATTTGGGTATACCTGTAATTTCTCTACTATGACCCAAAACAAACAAACAAGATAATAAACAGCTGAACCATATAAGTGGGGAGGCTTAAGATGCTGCCCTGTCATTTCTTTCTTTACTTCCGGGTTTTGTTCTCTTATTAGTAAAATCAAAAGATGATATTGATTGGGAATTTTCAATTCTAGCACACTAGCAGTTTTCACCCATTTTAATCCTATAATCCCATTCTAGACCTGAAGTCGTATTTACTGTTTGCATTTTAATCAGCATAGTCCCAATTGATTTACAGCCTATACACCGTTAACATAACCTTGATGAAAGAAAATATGAAAGGGAAGGTTAAAATAGAACTGTCTAGAAAGAATTGCTCAATATTTGTTCACTATCCTAAATAACACTCAGTAGTTTTAATCATATTGATAAATCACATTAGGGCATAGATTTAAGGGGAAAAAAAATCTGACTTAGGGACAAGTATGATTTGTTTTCTTAATTGAAGGATAAACTCGTAATATGCTGAGAAAGAAATCATTATGTAATACCCTACATTATGAAGATAATGTATTAAAGTGCAGTGAGAATATCAGGGGATAGTTATAATCATAAAACAGCTCTTGCCTGCAGTTTTTCTTAATGTTTCATTCTCAGACTTGACATATGCAAAAACAGCAATTATAAGCCTTAAAATGGAATTTCTTCTCTTTTCAGTCTCTTAAAACATTTGAATAGTATTTTAACATCAATACATTGAAGAGTGTGATGAAAAATATTACTATTACACTTGGTAGAAAACAGTAAATCTTTCCACTTAATACACATTGCAGCCAGCAATACTTCAGCTTTCCAGACAGAATATAATTAGAAATGCAAGTATTGTGCAATGCCCATTATCACTAAGAAATGGAGAAAAGTTCTGTTTTCATATGAACCGCAACTGCATGGCCACTGATCCGTGATTCATAATTGTGCAAAGTGTGAACATATATTTTGAAATTTTTAACTGTTTTTTTCCCCCTAGTCACAGAATGCTTCACTCAGATGACGGCAGAGAAGAACATAGTCAACAGTTTGCAAAGAGGCTTTAAAACTACTTATTTTATCACTAACTTCTCTAACTAAAATTAAACAAAAAATGTCAGTCACGAACCTCTCTAAAATGACCACTTCCTTCTAACTTAGTTTGCTTTATTGTGCAGTCTGATGGGAGATAATATCATGCTGCAAATTGTACCTAGTCTGATTCCAGAATCTAAACCCATGATTATTTTTTTTCATTACAAAAATTCATTTCTAAAAAATTTTCTGAATTTAAGTGGTTTAATCCATCTTAAATCTGATAAATGGTAAGAAGAGGGATAGGAACTCAGCAACCAAACACAGGCTCCCTATTTTAATGTCCTTTTTTGTAAGCAAAGCCTTGTGTGGAATTTGCCCATCGCAGCATATCCCCAAGAGTATTCTGTTTCTATGAAGGAGATCACAGTAGTCGAGATTAGTGGTAACCTTTTGATTTTAGCCCAGTGAAGGGTGAAATATATTAATATTAAAAATGCAGAAGCAGAAAAAAAATTTTGTGACCTACTACCATGTATCCATATAGTATATCTACCCAAAGGATTTCCACCTAGTTTAAAATAGATAGTTCCCTTAAAACATTAATATAACTTGTTTTTAAGAAAGGACTTAATGGCATAGAAAATAGAAGTTAGAAAATGAAAGCCTCTTTGGAAGCATCACCCTTGTCTTAAATCAATGAACTGTGTCTTTTAAAAAAATGCCATCCCATTTTTTTTTTCATAATGGCAAACATCAACACAGAAAAACAGGATGCAATTTTTCTAAATAAATAAATCAATGATGTGTCAAAAATTAACAGATGAGTTAATATACTTGGTGCTATCAAAACCAGATGGTGCTTCCTAATACTCATCCTGCTCAGTCAATCCCTGAATATTTTCTGGACCATCGGTATATAAAATAGGATGCTGCTATTTGTGATGGCAAACAAAAGCAATCATGCCTGCCAAGCACATACTATAACAGGCAGCATTTCAGCTCTGCTAGACAGAAAGTAATTAGAATGCTTTTAATGTCCAAAAGAATGATGCTGATAGGCTGCCACAGATGTGTAGATTTATGAATATTTATATGGTGGTTTATAGCTGACACTTTTATCAGTTGAAGAAGATAAAATATCTGCCTGACTCAAAAGCTTGACAGTCAGGTTAATAAAATCTCATTAAAGAGAATGACCTATGCAATTATATAGGATTTATTGTAATTCATTTTTGATTGTACTCTGCTTAAAGATGCAATTTCCCATTTCCTGATGCCAAATTTAGGCTGCATATCAAGATCTACGTGGGTTTTTAACTCTAAGCCTCCCACAGAGCAAAAAATATGCTTTTAAAACCACGGTATATTACCCCTTTTAAGGAAAATTATACTCTTCATGAGATTTTATAAAAATCTATTTTTAATCACATATTTCTCCTCTAAATGGTTTATGGCCCTTAATGGCAAACAAGATTCACTTCAACCCTTTCATCTTTTCACTGCATTTACTCTGGACAAGTATCCCTCTTCTATCCTTGACTCATTTAATCACACCAATGTTCTGACTATTTTCAGTTAACCAGGTGGTTTGAGATATTGCAATAACACTTCTGTGAGGGGGCAACAAGCAAATGACCACCCCAACCTCCACCCAGTGTGCTTACACGGCCATCCCTCTGAGTACCCATGCTCATTGGTTCAAAGTGGAGCCACTAGTTCCTCAAAGAGCCAATCAACTCTTCAGGAGACCGTCACTCTGATGGCCACTCACATCACTGTGCCTGTTAAGAGATGGCTTTGTCCATCAGTGAATAATAGGACCACAGTTCATGATGTCTAGTACCATGGGCTGTTTTTGTTTTTGTTTTGCCTCAGACCGTTTTCCTCACTACATGGAAGATACCTAGAATTTAATTCCCATCTTTCCAACAAGCACTGACATCCTGCCCTTGGTGTTATCAAGCTTACCTTTCTGTGACCTCTCTTAAAAAAAAGAAAAAAGAAGCCCTGACAATAAAAGAAAATAAGAAATATAAGTTCTTTGAAGGCCATCAACAGCCCCTTTTCACTTCTTTAGATTCCCACCTGGGGACACAGACAAAGTACACCAAATAGGACATTAGAAGAAACACTATAAGAGCATTTAGAACACACTAGAAAGAGGAAAACAACTTATGAATGAAAGCAGCAGGGAAAGTGCCATAGTAGGAAAGGCTATTTGGACAGGAGAGTAAGTGACTAGTGCAGAGAAAAGAAGGAAAAAACAAGATTAAAAGTAGGGGTAAAAGTGGAAATGGGGGGGGGGCAGATTTATAGTGTATAAGAAGAAGTAAAATACTGAAAGTTAGCAAAGACTGAAAGGAGAAAGCAAGATGAGAGTAAGACTAAACAGGACAGAAGACAGGGAAAAACCTGGAACTGAGGTTATGCAAATGAGCTATGCAAAACATAGAAAACAGGAAAAGGACCCCAACTTCTGAAAAACAAAATAAAAATATAGAAAGATAAAGCAGAGCTGGGGAATAAAAATGGGCATGAACAAGTCAAATCTGGAGAGAAGGAACACAAACCTCTTAAGGGAGTAAAACAGAAAAAAATAAGGAGGAAAATAAAAGTGGATGAGTACCCTAATAATGAATATTGAAAAACAACAGAATATTGGGCCAAGAGCAACTGAAAACAACAAAAACACCGCGAACAAAAAGTATACCCACATAAGAACCCCACTCAAAGCAGTCAAAAACCATCTCCAAATCAGTGAGGTATGTAACAGGAAGTCTTTGCTATAACCTGTAATTAGATTTTCCTTCTCAAAACCAATCGTTCATGTGTCAAAATATTGACAAACAACAGAACATTAGCATGGGCACCTATAACTCATTTAGAGACAATGCTCCTATTTTCATTAGAAATAAAGCCCTGCTGGATTCACTGATATGCAGAATTTGGGGTGGGGAGAGGGGCTCCAAAGTGTCATAAAAGGCCTGAGCAGGAACTTTTAGTTCGGTTAGGCCGGAAAAACGTGGCTGCGCGTCCTCGGGGAGCAGAGAGCGCCTGGACGTAGGCCCCAGGCTCTGGAAACACAAGCCCATTTTTCTTGCGGCCGGGCAGGAAGGCTGGCCTTTTCCCAAGGGGCCACTCGCAGGCTCCCGGTAAAGGAGGGGGATCTCGGACTCCGGGGTGGATACGCCCCATGATGATTTCCGCAGTCTCCAGCACAGAGGCTCCGGGCGGGAGCCCCCGCGGTAAGGCAGTGTCCCACCCGCGGGGGGCGGGGGCGCCGCGGGCCCGGAGCGCCTGGGCTCTCCCGGCCGGGGCGAGGGGCTGGGTGTCTCCTTCCCCGACGTCGGCCACCGCAGGGGCGAGTGCCCGTTCCTCCCCGTGGCGGGGCAGCGGAGCCCGGAGTCTTTCACCCGCGGGCTGGGACTTTGAGGCGGGTGGGGAAAGACAGAGAGAACGTGCGCACGAGAGCCAGCCGAGCGGACTGCGACACTGAGAGCATCAAAGAGATGGAGGGAGAGGGCCAGAAGGCAAAAGCGAACGAGAGAGAAGGAGAAACAAATGCAGAGAGGGAGGTAAAGGAAAGAACTGGGAGGGAAAAAGCCGGGCAGCGGAGGCTGCAAGGGGAGGGCATCCCGGAGAGCCGCCAGGGCTGCTCAAGCTTCTCCCAGAGCGGCCGCCGCTGTCACCCTAGGGTGTCAGGTCCCCACTCCCGGCTCGCGGCCTCGGCCACGGCCGCCTTCCGCGTCCCCGCCCGGACGATCCCCGCCGCCGACGGGCCACCGGGGCACTTCCTGGGCGCCACGCCGGGTCCGAGTGGCAGAGCCACCTGTTAAGAGGCGCGCGCCGTCGGAAGGCCGGAATGCGGCGGCGGCGCCGCGGAATTCTCCCGAACTTGCTGCCCGCGTGGGGAGGCCTCCGGGGTGCGCTCGGACGCCCCTACGCTCAGCTGTGTACACGCCCCCGCCCTCCCGCCCCTCTCGCCAGGCCCACTTCGTGGGAGGGTGTCCGCTGCCCCCAGCTTCCCCTGGCCCGGTCCCCACCCCTCCCCCCGGCCTGGGCGGGAAGGAAAGTTGCACCGAAGAGTTGGTACCTGCGCTGAGCTCCAGGCTGGCCCCGTCACTGCCAGCGCTGCTGCTGCCCGCGGCGGCCGCCGGGCCCGAGCCGTACCGGACGACGGCGGCGAAAGACGAAGATGAGGATGCGGCGGGGGCGGCGGGCGGGGGCGCGGGAGTCCTCAGGTGGCCCTGAGAAGCGGCGGAAGGCGATGACGACGAGGGGGCGGCGGCGGCCGCCCGGCCGGGCCCCGGGGGGTAGGTGCTCTGCGCCTGGAACTGCTGCGGCGGCGGCTCGCTGCTGCTGATGGAGACCGCGGCGTGCGTCGCGAAGGGCGGCGGGGGCGGCCGGACGTGCGGCAGCTCCACCAGGGTGGGTCTCTCGTAGCGCTTGGCCAGCGCCGGTCTCTTGCCAGGAAACGTCTTGAGGACGCTGTAGGGGCTGCGCTGCTTGTAGATTTTGGGGACGCTGGGCCCCTCCTCCGCCGGCTGCATTTCTTCCTCCATGCTGCGCCTCGGGGCCGGTCCCCGGTCGCACGCCCCCTCCCCGCCCGGCGCCGGGCTCCGCGGGTGCCTCCGCCGCCGGCCCGCGGGCTCTGCCCGAGTGCGCGCGTGTGGGAGGGTGTGTGTCTGTGCCGTGGCCGCCGCCGCCGTCACTGCCGCCTGTCGCTAAGCCTGGCATCGCTGAGCCCCCGCGCGGGGGGCTGCCGCCCGAGAGCTGATTGACAGGCCGCCTCGCCAATGCCTAGAGGGAGAAAGGAAGTAAAGAGCAAGTGTTTAGGGTAATATCTGCTAATGATAATGGGGGAGGGGGCGGGGCCTGGCACCGCCACCGCCCGCAGGGTGGGCCAGCCGGGTGTGCTCCTTCGACGGGGTGGGGGAAGGGGGAAGGGGACGACTGGGACCGGGAGGGCGACCTGGTAACCAGGCGAGGTTTCCACCAAGGTGAAACTTCGGAGTCCCATATGTGGAGGCGAGGCTTCTGCTGCCGGCGGCGTCCAGCTTCGGAAAGGAGCTCCTGGCCCCCCTACGCTACCCCGAACTCTCGGCGTTGCGTGGCGTGGCTGGTGGTAGTTGGGACTGACGGGGCCGGGTGGCTAGAGTGCGTGCGTGCGGGCGTGCGTGCCTTGGGAAGGTACAACAGCTACTTCTTCCCGGGTCGGGAATTGCTCCCTCAACCTTCTGAAAAGAGCATGTTGAAGGCCTCCACCCAGGTCGACGTGCGTTGTTTGCACGCTGGGGGTTCTGCCCACCCCCACCAGCAAGGGGCCTTCGAGTTCATGCTGATCATAAGAGTGCACAGGACGTTGGATTTTCACATTATTTCGTTAGTACCCTGTAGAGGCCCTGAGAGTGCATAACAGAATCATTTTTCCCATTATACAGATCAGAAAACTGAGGCACTTCGAGGAAATAGCCCGAAGCCGCACAAATGCATCTAGATCATTTGAATTCAGATCCTCATTTCATTTCATAGCAGATAGACTTTCTGTTCAGTTGAGGGTAAAATATGACCTGACACCTCCCTTTGGGATGGTGATTAAATCCTTTCAAAAATGTTATTTGATATGTATGTATATGTGCTTGTAGGGGGAAAGTGGCCCAAGAGCCCTCCTTCTCTGCATTGCCTAGCCAGCTCCTCTCTGCATCTGGGCCACAGTTTCTGGAGGACACACAATGTCAGTAGTTGTCTGAATAAGAGGAGAGCCCTTGAGGTTTGGAGGAGGATCCATTGGGGCTAGCTAGAGATGTCTACCAGCCACTTTTTTTTTTTAGAGCAAATTACCCCTCCTGCCCTAGGCCAACTCCAACACCAGCATATCTACTCCCAGGTTTGATTTCCCCAGCCTCAATCTTCATTATCCAGGTCAAATTCTGGGTGCATCTCCTCCTTGATGTATGACCCTCATCTTTCCACTCTGAAGTTACATTCGTTTTCATAACTTTCCTTTTAGTCTTGAGAAAGTGACCCATTTTCTTTTCCTGGGGTTCAGGTCTTTGGCCTCTCATTTCCCACAGCTTCTTCTTTCCTTTGGAAGCCTTCTCTCTTTCCTGGTTCAGCTTCTGTGCTCCTCCACCTTACATAGCCTCTCTCTCTCCTGCAACCTCAGATCGCGCTGTGGTTCCTACCCAACCTCCATTTATTAGAGATGAAATAAATAATGCCATAAATAAAAGTATTTGGGAGTCCAGGAACTGTCAGGGCTGATTAGGGCATAGAGGACATTTTCTTTCTCATTATGCAAAAGCATTTCATGGGGAAATAAAAGAGGTTTCATTGTAACTCATGCATGTCATATTTCAAGGAATTCAAGATATTAATCATATTTAACATTATTTGCAACATTTCTCCCTGGCTTCTGAAATCCACTAAATGAGGACACGTGGATCACTGGGAAAAAGGGAGACAAGCTTGAGAGGGACAGTTAAAAAATAATGAAATGCTGGTGAAAGACAGGGAGAGAGAATGAGATGCCAGGAAGATGTTTCTTAGGCACATAAGTGAGAAATGGAGGAGCTTCTTCTGAGATGTGAGACAGCTGAAATTGAATGATATACTGGAGGAAATAAATGATAACAAACCTCCCCACACTTTTCTTCCATAAAGCAGTTCTGAATTTTGCATTGAAATGTTTCCCTCCCACTTTACTCCCAGATAATTTGCCAGTAAGTCCAGGCTTTTGAAAAGAAATTGGGGTAGTGGCAATGTGTGTGTGTGTGTGTGTGTGTGTGTGTGTGGTGGTGGTGGTGGTAGAGTTTTTACTGAAGAAGTGATTTCCTATATCCAGACCTTTCTCTTTTGCTTATGCATTTTAAATTTGTATCATCCTCATCACTTAAATCGCCTCAAGAGACTGGGGATAATACCCCTGTCGTTAATTTTACCAATTGAAAGGACTTGCCATCTTGTACGTCAAAAAGTGGTTATTTCTATAAAACTAAATGCTAAAATTAGTGGTTTAGTTTAAAAAAAACAAAAGTGTGTGTGGAGGTGTGGAGGGTTCCTAGAGGAAAAAATATTATAAATTTAAAAATGATCAGCTTTCAGATCTTCATGCTAGCAGTCACCTATATCTGGGTCCATAGACAAATGAAGTGCTTAATAATCATTCTTTACAAAATATAATGGGCATTTATTCCAAGTGTGGAGTTGAACTCAATTTATAGATTTTTATCTAATATTTTTAGAGCGAGAGAAAGGGAGAGACAGATAGAAACATCAATATGAGAGTGAAACATCGATCAGCTGCCTCCTACACACCCCCTTCCTGGGATCGAGCCTGCAACCACATGCCGGGGAATCGAACCAGGACCTCTCAGTCCATGGGACAACATTCAGTCCACAGTTACACTGGCCAGGCTCAGTTTAGAAATTTTAACTGACCCATTAATTCCTGCCTAGGATTGTACTTAGCTGAATATTGTACGTAAATGTATGCTATGCATTAAAGTGTTTATAAAATCACTGGTAGCACTTTGTAAGCTTCTTTCTGTAAGTTATAGTCTAAATCAGCAATTTTCAACCTTTTTCATCTCATGGCACTCACAAACTAATTTAAAAAATTCTGCGGCACACCAAAAAATACATTTTTTTGCCGATCTGACAAAAAAATGTAGGTATAACTTTGATTCATTCACACCGTACAACTATTGTTGTGTTGGGTGTTGTCATTATTTTATTTGACAGTTTAAGGGAAAAGAGGTCTGTGTCCCTGACTACATATAGTCAGGTATTGCATGTTTTAAAAATTCTGGGGCACACCAGTTGAAAATAACTGGTCTAAATGATCAGATGGTGACTTTGCTGATATCTTCTCTTTAGGGTCTCATAGGGGCTGATAGGATGGTAATTACACTCATGCTTTAAATCTTTGTAGATATTTACTCCTTATCTCAGAAAAATAGATAGTGAACTTTTAAAAGTGAAGTGGCTCTTTATAGATAGGGTGATTTTTTGATTGGCAGCATGTCAATTTCTTGAGCCATCCAGAATATAGCTTTTAAATAATGTCAGCCATGGGAAATGCTTTTTATTGCACCAGTTTCAATGATATTTAATGAGCTTCTGATTGACTGTTTGATCTCCCAATGTTTTGTGCTACTTTTAATTCATTTTGTATAATAGGAAAAAAAAGTAATTGGAATAAAATTTTGTGACAAGATAATGACCTTCCACTTTGAAATTAAATGTCTGATTAGCTCCAACATTTTAATGCTGAGATGATACTGCAGCAGGAACAGGGGTATGCATACTATCGTTTGGTGGAAAATGACAGGAATACTACTTTTCGTTTCCCATTGCACAGCAGAAAGAGGTGGTGGCCACAGAATCACAGACTGATGGTGCTAGAAAGGACCTTAAAGGTCTTTTATTCTTGTGACTGAACTTATGCCTACAACTTTTCTATGACCCTGTCAGATGCTTAGAAACCTAGTAGTGGGGACCTTGCTACTTCCAGAAGGATCATTCACCCAGGGAACTATCCAGCAAATATTTACTCAATATCTACCATGTGCTAGGTATCCTTCTAATTACTGGGAAATATAATGGAACTAGATTCCAAAATCCTAATATTATGGAATTGGGATGGGCAAATAATAAACAAATAAACTGCCCTGGCCGGTTTGGTTCAGCGGTTAGAGTGATGGCCTGCGGTCCAGAGAGACCCGGGTTTGGTTCCCGCTAAGAGCATGTACTTCGGTTGCAGTTTGTCCCCGGCCCTGGTTGGGTCGTGAGGGTAGCAGCCACTCGATGTGTCCCTTTCACGTTGATGTTTCTCTCTCTCTCTCTTCCTCCCACTCTATCTGAACAAAATATCAAAACATGTCCTCGGGTGAGAATTTAAAAAAAATAAACAAATAAACAAACAAACTAGTAACTAACTGAACACTATTAATGTATTTATATAATATATAATAAGTATATTTATATAATTTATAAGAACTATAATATAGTATATCTAGACAATAATAATCATATATAAAACGTATACCACATAAGACTATCATTATTTCAGGTAGAAATAACTGATGAAAAAATAGGGTGGGGACGCTACTTTTGATAGAGTGGTTTGAGAAGACCTCACAGAGGTGGAACAGTTGAGCTGAGAGTTTCCTTACGCTGACGAAGAAGAGCAACCATGAAATGAGAGTCTAGGCTGAGGGACAGCAGGTGCAGGAGCCATAAGCAAGAACAAGCCTGATGTTCTCAGGGGATTGAGAGAAGGGCGAATGGTTAGTGTCTAGGGGCAGAGAGCAAGGAGAGGAGGCCCAAGAGACAGGCTGGGACCAGGCGGTGCAGGGCCTTGTCCACCTGGGGAAATGTTTGGGATTTATTCTAAATCCAAGGGGAAGCTTGTAACACTGGGGAGTGAGATGACCAGATTTATGTTCTCAAAAGATAATTTTCAGAAAAGGTACCACATGACTCTCATACAGACATAAAAACAAACATGTTATAAATTTTATTTAACTTGCTCCATGTCCTCATGTTATTCAAAGGGGAA